AAGAGCGCGAGCAGTAAACGCTTGCTCGCTCACAATCAAGCAGTTAAGCTTCTTGAGTGGCCACTGTGATCTGAAAGGAGGTCAAATGCTGCGACCCATCTACCTACAAGAATGCAGAGGTCTGAGACGGAAATAGGCCCCGTTTTGTATGGCACGCTACAAGAAACAAGAGGGGTGCTGAAGAGTAAATACGATTAAGCCGCTTATGCTTACTGCCGTGTGCATCTGTATACGAGATCATGCTATTTCATTTGTTTATATCAACTAGTCTCCGTATTTTCAAATATGAGTGAGAGCACGTCAGCATCCTTATTACTGCGGGTAAGCCCAGCACGATTATGATGAACTACACACACAGTTAAAATCGCCCATAAGCATAATATTGTGGTCACGATCTAACAAATTAGCCAACTTTCACAGAAATCAGCGCGCCGAGCTAAATCACTGAATACATACACATTCATTAGACACCCTGGCAAACCGTACAAAATAAAATCAGATTGTATCAGCCGACCCTATTCGTCAACACTCTATGCAAAACAAACATACGGTAAACTGTTCCTGAGTAAGCGAAGGCAGCCGCCGAAAGGCCTATATCGTGTGACACAAATACATCAAATACAAAGAGATTTTGCCTTCCACATCTGTATCTACCTCACTCTCGATCTTAGTTTCTTCAATGCGACGAAAACAAGATGTCGGCTGAAAACAATATGCGAGATGTGACTGTTAGAGCTGCAGGTTGGTTTTGCATGAATGGAAGCCTACATACGTTGACTTTTGCACAAGTGGCTTTCTGGGACAGTGCCTTCGGCGCAAAAACCTTTTTCCAGAGTTGCATACTCCAAGGTTGGTGGAGAAGGAGTGCTTTAGTGCTTCTCGTCACCAATGCCCCGCCTCCTTATCTTGAGCGTTCGTACTTTCATGCAGGCTTGATGCCTTGCAACAACGCGACTGGCTGGGCAGACTTAGCATACCACCGAGTCCACCAAGGAAAGCGAGGAAAAGTGACGCAGCAGAGTGCCGAGTAGTTTTTCTCGCTCGTCTAGGGCTTTGATGATGCCGGGCGTTTATTCATGGAAGCGTCAGTAGATCTTCGAACATCGTTAGTAGTCATCTTAAAATGTGGTACGTGTACATCAGCACGACGTGCAGCGCTCTCTTTCCGAGTGTCTGCAGACCCAGCTGCAGCAACCACCTTCTTCTCACCGCCGTCTGTCACGCGAAAATTTCCTGATGCTTGTTCAGATTTCTTCGCAAGGCCACAGTCTACTGAGTCACTTTCCTCGCTTTTCTTGGCTGACTCAGTGGTATGCCAAGCCTGCCCAGCCAGTCGCGTCGTCGCAGGGCAAGTAAGCCTTCCGGAAAGTGCGCAAGCTCAAGATAAGGAGGCCGAGAACTGGTGAGATGACCATGTCTTTCTGTCTTTCTTTCCTTGTGTCGTTGTGCTGCCCTTTTCGAAATAGTGGGGGACCCTTAAGCTTCACCTTTAAGAGTTGAATGCGATAGCGAAATCTACCCCTAGTGTGCCCTTCAACCGCTGAGAGTATACATATCATTATCTTTTGTTATACACGCACACGCACACGCACACGCATCATAGATTCTACCGGCGCGCATGCACGAATGGTACCTACAGGTTTCTTATCTAAACGAAGAGTAGCAAGGCCTCCTAGATTCTCATGCCTAACTGGCTTGTGCACTTTTTTCAGCATCTTGTTTATTTTTCATCTGTTCACGATATATATATATATATATATATATATATATATATATATATATATATATATATATATATATATATATATATATATATATATATATATGTTTCTCTCGTCATGACAGGGTGACGTAACAAGACGACAGAAATATACAAGTAGTGGTTCTGTTATGCCTCTAAATATATGAAAATTTGACTCTAGAGGAATATTTAGGTGCCCATGAAGTGGCCGGCTATAAAACCCGCTGGCAACCGTCTTTTGACCGTCGCCTGTGTGATGTAATGTGCTGCATGAAGCGGAGCTGTCGTCTTCTGCCCAATACTTAGCTGTTGTGAATAGCTCAATTTCAGTGTGAAGCTGATGACGTCTACAAATGCAATGATTTCAATCACAGAAGGTCATGGAAGAATATCATTCACCGAAATGCAGACGCTAACACAGCAAGCTGCAAGTAAGCTCAAGGCCACTGGGTGCACCAGTGTTGCCTTACTCTCGTCAAATCAAATTGCATCAACCTTTATTATTTGTCATTATATTGTACAAGAAGGATATACAGAAAGAGGTCCTGTAGTATGCTTTCAATAAAACCTTCTATGTAAGGTCAACATAAGTATATCGTTGGCAACAACAGTGGCAAAAATAATAGATTACAGGGTTACAAAGACAGACAGATGCAATATATGACGATGCTAGCATCAATTATACGTCAATAAAAATGTAAGCTGCAATATATATATATATATATATATATATATATATATATATATATATATATATATATATATATATATATATATATATATATATATATATATATTATTTCGATAAATCTGTTTGCCTTCGAATTTCTAACAAGAAAAATCCCCTTCAGTTTTCCTATTCCTCCAAAAGCCAACCCTTAAAAGAAGTCAGTCAATACAAACACCTAGGTATAACGATAACGAATAAGTTGTCCTGGAATGCCACACATTGCCGATGTTTCGTCATCGGCTTTCCGTAAACTGTGTATTTTAAGGCACAAGCTCAGAGACGCCCCGTCGCAAGTGAAACTATTAGCTTATAACACTTTAATACGTCCAAAGCTTGAATACGCTTGTATTGTAAGGGATTCGCATACTAAGTTTAACATATATTCCCTCGAAAAGATTAAAAGACGAGCAGTGCGTTTTATTTACTCGAAATATGGTCGTGGTACATCAGTTACTGAACTAATGCGAGATAACGAATTCCAGACGCTACAATCGCGGCGCCAGCTTGTCCGTCTAAAATTCTTGGACTCACTAACTAACAATAAACTTGGGCTAGACCCATCACGTTACGTTACCCCAGTTTCGACCAGGCAAACTCGTCATTCTCATGTCCGATCTTTAACTCCGTATTTTGCGCGGACAGATTTATTTAGGTTTTCCTTTTTTTCCGAGAACTCTAACAGAATGGAATAACTTGCCTTCTGATTTCCTCCAAACCTTCGATCTTGATGAACCCAATGTTTAATTCTGTTAATCTTGACCCCCCCGCCCCTCCCAATATCGCTTGATTTTTTTTGATGTTTCTCTTCTACTCGCTCTTCTCCTACACAGATGTATTTTAGTCAAGCTGTGTTACTCATGTACTGATCGCGTGCTTTCTTTGTTTTGATGTTTTTCTTCTACTCGCTCTCCTCTTACACAGATGTATTTTAGTGAAGCTGTGTCACTCATGTACTGATATTGTGGTTGTGTTTGTGCCTCTCCTGCTTGGGCCTTTTTGGCCTGCAGTATTCCACAAATAAGTAAAATAATATATATATATATATATATATATATATATATATATATATATATATATATATATATAAATATATACATATTCCATACCTACATATATCCTACATATCCTACATATCACATACCTACATATATATATATATATAAGGCAAAGAAGTGTATACCTGAGGGCTCGTTTTTCTGTGCTTTGACACAATCTTAACGAGATCTAACAGACAATAATACCAAGAAATGAATTGGGGGAAGTTATTGGAACCATTATAATGTATATATAAGAAATAAAACTAGGTGAAAAAATTACTTACCGTGAGCACGAATCGAACCGGAGGTGGTAGGTTCGATTCCTGTTCACGGCAAGTGAACTTTTCACACACTTTTCTTTCTTCTTATTTATTATTTACATTACAATGGTTCTAATAACTTCCCATACACATTCCTTGGCATTATTATCTGTTAGATCTCATATATATATATATATATATATATATATATATATATATATATATATATATATATTGCCGCTTACATTTCTCATTACGTATAATTGATGCTAGCATCGTCATATATTGCATCTGCCTCTCTTTGTAACCTTGTAATCTATTATTTTTGCCACTGTTGTTGCCAATGATATACTTATGTTGGCCTTGCATAGAACGTTTTATTGAAAGTATACTACGGGACCTCTTTCTGTATATCCTTCTTGTACAATGTAATAATAAATAATAAAGCTTGATGCAATTTTATTTGACGAGAGTAAGGCAACACTGGTGCGCCCACTGACCCAGACCTTACTTGCAGCTTGCTGTGTTAGCGTCTGCATTTCGGTGAATGATATTCTTTCATAACCATCTGTGGTTAGAAATCATTGCATTTTTAGTCGCCATCAGCGTCACACTGAAATTGAGCTATTCACAACAGCTAAGTATTGGGCAGAAGACGACAGATCCGCTTCATGCAGCACATTACATCACACAGGCGACGGTCAAAAGATGGTTGCCAGCGGGTTTTATAGCCGGCCACTTCACGGGCACCTGAATATTCCTCCTGAGTCAACTTTTATTATATTTATAGACATAACAGAACCACTAGTATATTTCTCTCGACATGTTATGTCACCGTGGCATGACGTTTCTTAAGAACACCTCGAAGAAGCACAGAGGAGGAGGAATAACCTTTATTATAAGAAACCAGTGTGTTTAAATGGCCGGGCCTAGGTCTCCCATGAGCACACTTAAGCTACATAACTTTTTCACGCAGGTAGACACTGTTCCCATTTTCGCCAAGGAAATTCAAATATCGCGATGTATTTTATATTGTCGAGAGCTTTACGAACATATACTAAAAGTGATCATAGGTATATTGCAGGCTGCATTGGGTATCATGTTTTGCGAAACCCTGACATGCATGACCGAAAACTAATCAGAAATATTCTTCATCCTGGAAAATTTTCAGGCAAAACTCTTTCAGCGGTACCAACTATTAATCATATCTCCCTTTTTGAATGTTCTTACAGGTTGACAAGTGCTTTGCGCTTGAAAAGAATACGGCAAGCGTTTGCCTTCCAGTGAATCATGTGGATATGGAGCGAAAGCAGTTCTCAGAAGTCTACTGGCAAGTGGAAGAGAACGGTAGGAAATGATAGGTTGTACCACATTACATTGTCACCGTTTCTCAGCAGTATCGGCTCTTTCAGGGTTGATTTAAGGATAAATAACGTTCCCCATCTTAAAATACTTTTCTCACATGAAAACGCATAACTGAAGCTGAAGTTGTTCAACATGAATCCAAATTGTCATGTTTCCCTTAAACGTCCTGTTATGCTTCTGAAATGACGGATTTATTTATTTTTCTTTGGGAAAGTAAACAAGCACAAATTAAGTGATTCAGCCTGAACTCCGGCACACCGTTGTTCACACCTCCCCATCTAGCCACCTTATCCGACGACTGCGGTTGCCACAGGAGTCATCGGATTCTCCTGGCCAACGCCAGGCGACAAGACCCGTGGGTTCGGCCAAGCGTCAGGACGCTTGAAGAATGTCGGGTTCACGGCAGGTGGGAGACTGCAGCGGCTAGTGGCTGCCACGTCCCGCGCCCTAGCGACCTTCTTCAGACCACCACGTCTCGGACCGCGTCTGTCGTTCTTCAACCACGCTTATGGCTTCCCGTGGAGAATCCTCTTTGGATAAGCATCCACTTGCTCACACTGTGCTGCTGCCGCGTGCCATCGTCGTCGCCTTCTTCGACTTGCGTTGCTTTATAGCGCACTCTTGAAACGTGCACTTCACTGATCACAGACGCCCCCGAACCTGTCAGTGCCAGGCAGATGAGACGCACTCCTGTTTCATACGTGCCTACAATAAGAAAAACATCTTCACGTGCATTTCGTAGCTAAGACATTGAAGTCAGCCACGCGCTTTTGCGAAAGTTTAGGACATTCCTTGTGAGTGAAAAGGGCACCTACTGAACAAATGCATTTCCTAGTGTTGTGTATAAAATTCCTTGTGTGGATCGTGAAAACGTTTATATAGGAGATTCTGGTAACTTCAGACAGCGTGTGCGCCAACGTAAGAATGATGTCGAACAGAAAAAATTGGCACCTAATGCAAAGCCTGAGTTTGCAGGTATGACTACTAGCAGAATTTACTGGATAGGCGCGAGTACTATCTAGTGAAATTTTAACGCCGGTGCCTGCACGAGCGTTAGGAGCGCGACCAGCAAAATGACGAGCAGAGGAAATATCTGACGTAGAAATTAAAAAAAAATAGAGACCCCTCGAAAATAGAGTCGAGAGTAGAGTCGAAAAACTATCCAAGGCAATCCAACACCAATTCGTGGGAATATAGTTGCAGCTTGGTGAATTGAAAAAATAGATGGCACACAAAATCAACTAAACGATATTGGAGAACACGCAAAAAATTTGAGGTATGTAGGAACTGGCCCGCTTAAATTCGATGTAGAGCAGCGCAAACACACAAACGAGCTCAAAGGAAAAGTCAACTTCTCGTCTCTTCTTCCTTGTCTGTCTGTATGTTCGCACTGATTTTCCATCTAAGCATGAACCACCAGCTGGCCCACCTTTCACTCCTTCCAGTTAGAACTTCTTTTCAACCCTACAAACGGCCGACTACGACCGAAGTATTCAAAGTCAGACGAGAAGGGCTCGTTCCCGAATCCCGGCTCTACGTAATCCGTATACAACTGTGGCAGTGGAGCTGTCTTGGGTATACACAATGTTCATAGACTGTCGCGCCGCCTAGCCTAATTCAGGAGCGTCCTCTTGAGGATGATCACTAGGACAGATACTCCCTTGTTCGGTGGTGCTAGCCTCAGTATTATTGCGTAACAAGAAACGAACGCAATTACCTCTTTGTATGCTTCGTGCATAAGTGAATATACCGAAACGCCCGTGACACAATAAATCTCATTCCTTCTTGCGAGACGTGTAAGTTTTCGTGAAAATGCGTGGCAACTCTATAGGCGCATCAGCCGGTGGTGGGGGGCAAGGGGAGCAGTGAGCCTCCCCCCTCTCAAAATAGTTAGAGGGCTGAGCTCCCCTCCCCACTTTCGGCAGTGGTCATCTAGGCTGCACGTTGGGGAAATCCACAACTAAGGCGTACTTTTTCATCACAAAAATTGTCGCGTATATTCCTACTACATGCATGACACGCATATATGTGTTGCTCCAGTAGAATCTGCTTTAAACTGAGTGTTACTTATTTATGCTAAGGTACAAGTGCTCTATGTATAAAAATTCATATGAAATTGCGAGTTGCAAACACGTCGATAAACCTATCAATATATATATATATATATATATATATATATATATATATATATATATATATATATATATATATATATATATATATATATATATATATATATATATATATATACATATATATGTATATATGTATATATATATAAGGGAAACAAGTGTATACTTATGGGCTCATTTTTCGCGTTTTACACAATATTAATGAGATCTAACAGACAATAATGCCAAGGAAGGTATAGGGGAAGTTATTAGGCCAATTGTAACTTAAATGAGAAGAAAGAAAAGTGGGTGAAAAGATAACTTGCTGGGGGCAGGATCCGAACCTGCGACCTTCGAATAACGCGTTCGATGCTCTACCACTGAGCTACCACGACAGCCATCCCCCCAGCCACTTCATTGGGTATCTATGTCAATTTCAACGTGGGAGTGTCAGTCAGCGCCTTTTAGTAGCCATGGCGGCGAGTGTGGTACACACTTTATGAGCCTGTTTGGCGTCACGTAGCACGTGAACTTACTACTAATTGGCAGCTGACCAATAGTCCACCGTATACAACCTAGAGGCACCAAGCCTGTCAGTACGAGACCCTCGTTAATGAATAAGGGAAACAAGTGTATACTTAGGGCTCGTTTTTCGTGTTTTACACAATAATAATGAGATCTAACAGACAATAATGCCAAGGAAAGTATAGGGAAAGTTATTATGCCATTCGTAATGTAGATGAGAAGGAAAAGTGGGTGAAAAGATAACTTACCGTAGGCAGGATTCGAACCTGCGACCTTCGAATAACGCGTTCAATGCTCTACCACTTTCCTATACTTCCTTTTTCTTTGGCATTATTGCCTGTTAGATATATATATATATATATATATATATATATATATAAATAAATAAATATATATATATATATATATATATATATATATATATATATATATATATATATATATATATATATATATGGAAAGAATGTTTACTTAAGGGCTCATTTTTCCGTGTTTTACACAATATTATTAAGATCTCACAGACAATAATGCGAAGGAAAGTATAGGGGAATATATTAGACCGAATTTTCGGTCTTATGTCTTCCTGTATACTTTCCTTGGCATTATTGTCGGTTAGATCTTATATATATATATATATATATATATATATATATATATATATATATATATATATATATATATATATATATTGTAGTGAAGAAGATGAGTGCTACTCAGAAAGGCAGGGGGTATGACTCAGTCGGTGAAGTAGACGACGTTTGGTTGGCTGGCCACTCAGGCTAGTTCCGCCATTACCGCTTGACGTGTCGTGATCGCTCTCCTGTTTTATAAAAGAGTGCCACTCTACAACGCCTCATTAAAATTGATGGAGTGCTGCGTAACGCCCAATCCTGGATTTGTGAAACCATACGTTGTCTCCAGTGCTACGATGTCCACGAACGAATATCAGCAGGCGGCCGCCTCCGCTCCAACTGCTGCAGCTCCTGTCTGTCTCGGCTCCTTTCGGCAACGCTACCCGCTTACCTTCAGTAGAACTGATGACAAAGACGTGGAAGACTGGCTCGACGAATACGACCGGGTGAGCAAGCACAACAAGTGGGACGATGCGCACAAGCTTAGTGTCGTCCAATTTTATTTCACCCACGTCGCCAGTCTGTGGTACCGTAATCATGAGAGAGACCTCCCCACCTGGTTGGCCTTCCGAACGGCGTTTGCGGAATTCTTTGGCCGTCCAGCGCTTCGCAAAATACGGGCCAAACAGCGCTTGCGTACTAGGGCTCAGCGGACTAATGAGAATTACACCAGTTATATTGAAGATGGGGTCGACCTTTGCCGGCGTGTCAACTCGGCCATGACAGAAGCCGAGAAGATCAAAGACATCTTGAAAGGCATGACTGACGACGCATTTCAGATGCTTGTCGCCAAAAGCCCGCAAACGGTAGCGGAAGTGATCCAACTTTGTCAGAGCTATGATTAGCTCTGGAAACAGCGTGACACCACTCGTTGTGCCAGCGCGCCAAGTGCAACAATCTCCGCTTTAACGTCAGCTGGCATTGCTATAGACCACACCACTTTGCTTCTCGAGATCAAGCAATTTGTACAAGAGGAGGTCGCACGCCAGTTGTCCCTCGTGCCTTATACCTCCGAAGGTGCCCCATCTACTTTAGCGTCATCAATACAGCGAGTAGTCCAGGAGCAAGTGTCCGAGGCGCTACTAACAGCTCACACACCACCTGTGGCTGCTCCGCTGACCTATGCCGAAGCACTGAACGGAACCCGACGTCTGCCTGTCACGAACGGCCACGTTTCTTTGTGGCGAACGCCTATGTCCACGCGCCCCTTTGTTGTACCGATTGAGCCTATGTACCAGGCTGCCCGTCCTTTCTCCCGACCACCACCTCCACGCTTTCATAACCCTTGGCGCACTCAAGACAACCACACCATATGCTTCGCCTGTGGAATTGCGGGTCACGTGGCACGATTTTGTCGACGGCGCGAGTTTTTCCTGCGTGACGACGTCAGGCCCAACAATTACGATGTCCCACCACGACCGGAGCTTGCTGTATATGGCGACAATGCCACCATGGACACATTTTCACCTCGCCGGAACTTCAACAGACACGTTGCCAGACACGTTGCACACAGATATATTGCCACGTTTCATTTCCCAAGTTTTGTTATCGTCCCAAAACACTACACGATTCTCAGCGCAAACCGCGCCTGCAGTTTTGGAGAAGCTTCCGGACTTTAGTACATCATTTCGATAAGATCACGCCCACTCTGTGAACGGTACAGATTATTCTAGAGCCTTCGCCACCGCCAGCCATAACGCTAGAACATTCGACG